GTGATGTATCAAAAAATAAATGCGGCTCTTTATTAGGGGTATTGGGTTGCATCACGATATTTTATCGAATTCTATCCAAGTTTTAATGTCAAAATGAATTTGATGCTAATCTTACCATATATAATGTAAATCTAAATCATGTAATCGACAGAGGAGCCTAAGAACACACAATTTTTCTCATTTTTATTAACGGGAAAGGTACATATAAACTGACCAAGATGTGGGTCGATCTTCTTCTGCAGGCTATTATTATTTGTCTCGCTGTGCAGAATATCGCACAGACCATCTTCTCCAAGCACCGGGTGCAAAGCCAATCGCTTACCACCCAAGTTCCGGATTCTACGGTTAAATCTTTACTATGACCGCAATTGACACAAGAATCAGTAGAAATTGAAATATGGAGGAGTAAAACGGCGCAAATGGACTGTATGTGGACGCTTACATTGATGGATCTCTTTTCAGGTTGCAAAAAAACATCATATTTATTAGCTAACGGAGTAAGAGGTAGGAGGGTGAGAGGCGATGATTACCCGGAAGCAGCTTGATACTCGAGAACATTGGGCGGCTTCGACGGAAGACTCCTTTGCAAACCCTAGCTATTGAGTTTATGGGGAGTGAGGATGGGGAGGCTCGGATGTAGAAGGAGAGACAAGAGTTAAAGGTGCGTATCAGCCCACGTCATCAGCAAGCGCGGGCAATAGCGGAAGGAAAACGGCGTTAGGTTTCTATGCACTGTAGTGACGAGAATAGAACCAAACTAACCCTCTTCCACCATTTATATAATAGGGAGATATATATATATATGAGGAAACTTCATGTCAGGCCGGTCTGACGGGCTGCTCCGTCCGGCCGAGCCCGTTTGGGCACCTTCCCGGTGGAATTTTTTGATGAAATTTTTTTAGCATGTTCCTCATCAAGTCTAGTTTGTTCATACCAAATTTCAGCTCAAAATTCGATCGGGAAGGCATTCAAATTATTTTTTGAAGTTGACTGCAGTTTTATATGTATATTTTGACGCAGTCAACTTCAAAAAATGATTTGAATGCCTTCCCGATCGAATTTTGAGCTGCAATTTGGTATGGACAAACTAGACTTGATGAGGAACATGCTCAAAAAGTTTCATCAAAAAATTTCACCGGGAAGGTGCCCAAACGGGCTCGGCCGGACGGAGCAGCCCGTCAGGCCGGCCTGATGAGAAGAGCACTCATATATATATATATACAAAAAAGATCAGGTCCAGCCCTCCCCGGTCCAGCCGCCGTCCGAACTCCGCCGTTTGGGGCGGTTACCGGTGGAATTTTTTGATGAAATTTTTTGAACATGTTCTTCATCAAGTCTAGTTTGTCAATACCAAATTTCAGATCAAAATTCTACCGGGAAGGCATTCAAATCATTTTTTGAAGTTGACTGCATTTTTATATGTATATTTTGCCGCAGTCAACTTCAAAAAATGATTTGAATGCCTTCCCGGTCGAATTTTGAGCTGCAATTCGGTATGAACAAACTAGACTTGATGAAGAACATGCTCAAAAAATTTCATCAAAAAATTCCACCGGGAACCTCCCCAAACGGCGGAGTTTGGACGGCGCCTCCCGTCCCTCCGGCTGGACCTGATCACTTCTCTATATATATATATATAGTGTAATTTTAACCCCCAATAACTTAATTTAATAGGAGTAGTAATTACGTAGTATGAGTCTTTTAGAGTACGGTTCATCTTTTTTAAATAGTTTTGTTTATTTAAAAGTTATCTTTAAGCTTAAAATGTCTATTACGGAAAATATTTTTATGTTAACTATGTACGATTTTTTCTCATTTAATATATTACGGAATAAATGAGAATGAGAAAAATCTCTAAATGTAAATCATATTAACGCAAGAATCCAATACGAGTATTATTATACGATTAGTTCCTTTTAATGATTATAATTATATTCAAATTTTACATCATAGCTACTATAATATTAGAAGACGAATTGCTCCAAAAGCGTACTCTGATCTTTTGTGCCTTTTACTTTATGTTTCTTCCATTTTCATATTCAAAACCAAAGGACTAAAAGTCATTTCTTAGAGTTATTTTCTTCCCAAGGTTAGGTGTTTAGAATTGAATCATATATGATTACCACTAATTAGAGTGGAAAATCTAAGAATTCGTTAAATATCGTAACGACAATTACCATTTCATACAAGAATATTAAAAAGTAACAATCTTCTAAATATGCTAAACCATCATTACTATTTTCTAATTACTCTCACAGTCTCACTTAACACCCTAAAATCCTAAATCATTAAAGCACAACAAAATTTGAAAAGACTTATATTAGAAAATATTTTGCTCATTTGATCTGAATGTTTTTATATGAATAGTTTAAGATATAGTATCTTCTAATTTGGAATTTTATGTATTGATGTGAACTTGATTGATCTAAATTCTCATATCTTATCTGAATCATTCTAATCTAATATGATTCCTCCTAATCTGATATAATCCGAATATCCTAGATCTTATTTGAGTGTTTATTATTATTATTATTATTATTATTATTATTATTATTATTATTATTATTATTATTATTATTATTACTATTATTACTATTATTATTCTTTTTTACTATTATTATTATTAGTATTATTACTATTAATATTACTATTACTATTACTATTACTATTACTATTACTATTACTATTACTATTACTATTACTATTACTATTACTATTACTATTACTATTACTATTACTATTACTATTACTATTACTATTACTATTACTATTACTATTACTATTACTATTACTATTACTATTACTATTACTATTACTATTACTATTACTATTACTATTACTATTACTATTACTATTACTATTACTATTACTATTATTATTACTATTACTATTACAACTACTATTACTATTATTACAATTATTATAACCATTACTATGATGATTACTATCACTATCAGTATCACTATAAACAAAATAAGTAGCCTTTGACTTGTGTATTTGATTGATGTAATTGTTCGTTTGATTCTAAAATAAGAGTTTCCTTAAATAAAAAATACTCAACCTTTCGCAGTATGTCCTTCCCTACATGCCTCAACTTGAAATTGTTTCCATCATTACGTCTAAGGACTTCCTCCATGACATATTGGTAGCTTAGAAACAACTTGTTCAGTGTTGTAGGTGTGAGCTCCTCAAATGATGTGGTCACTGCATTTGTTAACCCCATTATGCCTTTTATTCTTTGATGGAGTCTATTGCCCTAAAACACCAAGTCTAACACATTAAGGTCACGACTATTAGGTGGTTGATACATGAGTTGAATATTCCATCCAACTTGTGTTGCATAGCACACAAAATCTGGATCATTAATATTAATGTGAGGCCTTGCCTTATCTTGCTGAATTATTTTACTCCTATGGGCCAATTTTGTTTTATTGTTGGTAGAACCTGGTTGAGTATCATGTGCTTTATGACTGGACTTGTCACACTCATTGTTGGCTTAGTCTCTAATGTCCCAGTACCACCACCTCCGATCGGTGAAAATTATGTCATTTTTGAAAAAATGTCATTTTTCCTGAAAATGCCAACAAAATGACATTAGATATATTGATAATACCAAAATTTTCATTAGATTTGTCTTTCTTATGGCATTACTAAAAATGTTGGCAGATTTCCTCCAGTGATCAAAGCTGCTGGTGTTGCGGGTGGCAGAGGCGGTAGTGTTTTTTTATGTTTTTAATTTTTTAATTTTTATTTTATTTTTTTAAATTTTTATTTTATAAATATTTTATCAATGTTTATTTTTATATTATACCCCGAAAATGTTCGTCATATTGACTTTTCTTGGTCAATGATAGCAAACTTTGGACAATGATTTTTAATATTATATTTGTATGCGGAGTATAATTTAAAAAATTTATACTTTTATGAAAAAAATTCTGAAGAAAGAATATTTTGATATAATTTTCATATTGAAAATAATTTCGTATAAAAATATCATTGGTCAAAGTGTATTGTCATTCATCAAGAAACAGTCAATTTGGCGAATCTTTTCGGGAGGGAGCTGAGGGAGTATTTACTAATCAAAAGGGGTTCTCAAAATATACTTGAATTACCTTGTGTAATTATTGTGTAAATAATCATGTCATTTTTAATGAGGCCGGGAATCGTAAGCCGGAATGAAGGTAATACTAAAATAGATATTTATATGTGAAAAGTTCTGGTAATAGCGCAATAAGAGACATGTAAATTGAAGAATATTATCTTATCAAATATTCAAATGGACACGTACCCATTAACTTCTAACACAATATAATTTCTTTTCCAATATAATTTCTTTTGTACTTCGTCCAAATTATCTCCATCTCTTTTTCTTTTCCATATCCTGTCATTAATCCGATCACATCTTTGAAAACAATAAGAATTATTATTATCTTTAATTTGGTTATAAGAGAATACCGACCAAAATTTTCGTATCAATTTCCTCGGCTAAAATTGAGGTAATTGGAACAAATGAGAAACTAATTTTGAATATTGCTTGATCTTCAACTTTTACTAATTTTGCTTGAATTTGAAAATTTATTTTGTACTTATGGGGAGTAGGCATAAAACCTCTGGTATTGGAAGCAAGTTTGAAGGCACCAATAGAATAAACTATCATTTGTGCATGAATGCTTTATACAAACAAATTAAAGGCATGAATTGTACATATATCCCTACAATAAGACAATGACCACTTATACATTTTTAAAACAATCTTACATATTATCCAATTATGATAATAATTAAAATTACAATTTTATTTATAACTGTAATTATAATCATAATTAAAATTATAATTATAGTTATGGGTATTTATGTAATTTTAATTATAGTTTTAGTTATAATTACAATTATTCTTATAGGTATAATAATATTAATATTAATAATAATGATAATTACAACAACAACAATAATAATATAGAGATAATAATCATAATAATAATCACATGAATAATTATTATAATTATAATGATTATGATGATGATGAACACTCAATCAGAATAGAAATATTCAAATCAGATCATCGAGAAAAAAAAATGTGGACATATTTACTTCTCATTTATGAAATAGGAACTGGCCATAGAAAGACAAAAATTTAAGGGATATAAGCTGCGATTTACTTGTTGCAACAACAATGTTTTCAAAATTATATACCACACGAAGATGATCTTACAGGAAAGTAACCCGTATTAAATCTTGAGCTTTTATTATCACTTCATCTATTTAAACCTGTATACAAAAGAGTACATTTTTAAAGATCGAAATAACAAAATAATGTGATCTTTCAAACGCAATACTAAAGCAGCTTGAACAATTGATAACCGTTTTAGTCCACACCTTAGATAGGACCATGTTCTTTGAGATTATATATAATTATAAGACCCTATGGCTTAACATTTTAGTGTGTTAAGCGTAGGGATGGCAATGGGGCGGTTCGGGGACGGTTTTACATATAACCGTACCCGCCCCATTTGATAATTCCCCGCCCCATAACCGCCCCATTACCCAACGGGTAATTTTTACCCAAACCGTATCCGCCCCAACGGGTAACGGGTATAACCGTGGGTAACCGTGGGTAATCGCTTTATTAAATGAGTCATTGATATTTTAATATAAAAATAATATTTTAAAAGGCAAAAAAATGGCATCACCTAGATAACTCTAGAATGAGACGCCCCTGTAAAGTTTCGTATATCTACAAGACGAGAAAGAAGACAACATAAATTAATTTGAACCTAAAAAACTTAATCTGAAAAAATAATTATTCACTAAAAATCTGATAATAATCAAACAAGACTATTAAGATCTATTATGAACTCTCATGGAAACATTATAGTTAGTACATTTATTATCCATATACTCAATGAAAATAGAAAAATCTCATCTTCTATTACTCATGGGACAAATAATAGATAAAAATGTAATAAAAATATAACTACAATAAACGGGGCGGGTACGGGGCGGGTACGAGGCGGGTAATGGGGCGGACATGTATAAAACCGTAACTGCCCCGTTACCCGTAAAAACAAAACGGGTATTCCCCGCCCCATACCCGTTACCCGGTCAATGCGGTTTTCCCCGTTATGACCGGGGCGGTTCGGTGCGGGTATCCATTGGATCGGTCACAATTGCCATCTCTAGTTAAGCGAAAGTTGGGAGGAATGTTAAAATCAGATATAGATGACAAAGAAAATATTAACCAATAGGGAAAACTGTCAAATAAGCTCTCTTACTACTTTAAAAAAGTCAATTGAACTCCTGAACTAAAACAACCGCCAATCAAACCCATAAACACATATAAAATTGTCAAATTAGCTTTAGGACCTGTAACTTCCCGGTTTCCCGGTGAACTATGTCAACGTGGCTTTTAATTTTAATTTTGCTTTTTCTTTTTTGTTTCTCTATCCTTTTTGCCTTTCTTTTCTCCGTCTCTTTCCCTTCAATTCGCCATTGTTGAAGACAACCAGTAAGTAGCGGCGATGAGGATGGCACTGGTCGGTGAGTGAGATAATCCATGCCCCCTCCGTCCAACACACAGCTCCCCTCCGCAACCACCCCGACGATATCCGGCGTCAGTTCCTTTCTTTGTCTCTTTCGAATTCTCTTTCCCAGGCACAGTCCATTCACGAAGACCACCGACAAGCGGCGGCTGTTAAGATGGCGCCGGCTAGTGGAACCGGCCAGTGTCGGACCAGATCTATGCCCTTTCATTTAGTTGCAACGCACTACATACTCCCCTTCGCAACCACCCCTCTGCGGCGGCAATGAAGATCAAACGATGTTCTCTTTAAAGTGGGCAATCATTCTCATCAAGAGGAAAAAATCAAGAAGCAAGTGCACGTTTGGATGAAGAAAACGTTGGGTAAGCAGGAAAGCTAATTTCAACTGGTAGTAATCCTTGAGAACCGTTCACCGGTGATGTGCTTCTCCACAACCATCCGGCCATCCCCTTAGCTACCAAGTAACCTTGGTTCCTAGATCACACACAATTGACACAAATTGATGTGGGCAGTTCACCGTCTTCGTGATACAACACAAGCTCGTATGCAAGTCTGCAACGCGGTCAACGTCGGCAGGCTGTGGAGAAAAGAGAGCGGAGGTGTGGACCTGCGAGGAAGAAAGCACAGTGGCTGACTAGATGCTTGTGAGATTAGCGGATGGGAAAGAGAACGAAAAAAGATAAGTGGTGGACTGGTGGGAAAGAAAAAGGAAAGAAAAAAAATGATAAGATAAAATTAAAAGCCATGCCACGTAACGATTTACCTTGAATTGGGTTGCTACCAGTTAAATAGGCTAAATTGAGAATTTTTTTATGTGTTTGGGGGTTTGATTGAGGGTTCTTTTAGTTAAGGGGCTCAATTGACTTTTATGAAGTAATAGGGGGGCTTATTTGACAGTTTTCTCTAACCAATAATTTTGAGATTCATTGAAATGGACTGAGTATTTTTGTAGGAGTCCAAATCATTTAAGTAGGATACCTAGTAAGTAAAAGGAGAAGCTAGACATCATAATACCTAGAAAATAGAAAGGAGACCAAATAGAAAGAGAATACATCAAATCTGAAATAATGGAGTCCAAATTAAAAAGCTAGTTGGAGGTAGGAAGGGAATAACGGCTACCTCTGAATTCACACAAATGCCCGCTAGAGTCTACTATTACATTTTCATATGATTGGAACTAAATTTCATTTTTCAATTTTCCAAACATCAGAATCCCTGGAAAATATAATGAACGTTTTAATTTTTCTCTTTCACTTATGTGTCAGAAAGTGACCAATGTGAAATCAAGTTCTATTCTCTTTCACTTATGTGTCAGAAAATCTTTGCCCAATAAATTAAAGAAATGAATTAGACTGCATATTGCATTTTATCTTCTTTCCATCAATAAGTTATAATCATAGGAGTGAAATGATTATATTAAAAAAATGCACTTTCACCTCTTACCTTACTATATTCTCTGTAAAGAAATGAATATAAAAGAAGAATAAAAAAGAAGAAAGTATTGTAAATGAATAATGATTACTTAAAAGATTCATTAAACTCTTCATTTTATCCTATTCCTCGAGATTTATCATCTTTGACTACTTTGGGCCTGCGCCTGTTCTTTGCCATGAAGTGAAAAATTATCAAAATACTTAACAATCTTTCATTAAAATATCTGCACTTTAAATGGATTGATTCTCAAACTTGCACCTTTTTCTTCAGGGAGCTTAGGAAGTTAGGAGTAACATAGTAGATAGGAGTAACAAAAATTTCTTAGTAACCTACGCTCACGGTCTCATCTTTTTTTAATGTTACCTCTGGCTGCTTATTCTTTATAGTATTGTTTTTATATCTGCTTCTTAATTGGAATCAATTGAGGTAATAAGTCAAAAAACCCTTAAAGTGCAATACAATGAGGAATAAATAAACAATAACTCACCTTTTGCAAAAATGAAACTGCAATTTTTAGGCCATTTATATATGAAATTAACTCACCATTTTGATAAAAGAAGACATCAAAATGAAACACTAAATAATGCTATAAGTGGTGCTACATCACATTCTCTTCCAATAGCTATACTATTAACAACACACACACAATGCATTAGTGATTTTTTATTTAAGGGCAAAACAATAACAATTAACATTAAAACTTGATTAGCAGAACGAATTTAAATGCTTGACTATATCTGTCACAAATATGTGCATATAATTTTATTTTGTTATAGGGATCGATAGGGTGTATTTTTTAAGTACATTTTAGGAAAGGTTAGAAGATGCCTCCTCTATTGTACTTTTTTTATTTCTATTCTTCTGAAACTAACCTTCACGAGTTAAAGAATTTAGTAGTTTATACTTTATATAAGTCACCTCTTCAGGCACTTCAATAAAGAGGTTTAGCACATACACATGAGCTTAAAGTTTCTACGTATTGTCTTAAGACTATGGGAAGGAGCCTCAAAATGACAAAATGCATAGTAGAAAGTATTGAGTTTTCATTTTCGCTAATACTGTATGAAAGCAATAGAACTATCATTGAAATCAAGAGTGTGACTTGCACATGGATATGTACCCGACAATAGCCAGCAGTTAACCACACAATACGTTTTAGACATGAGAACAGAGCAATGGAGTCAAAGTGTCCATTCCTGTATGTGTACATAATCAAATGCTGACTGATGAATGCAATCTAAAGTTTTGAAAACAAAAGATCATCTCAGCCTGTAAATATTTCAAACTACAGAATACAATTCTGATAGTTACGATGTTACCTTGTCCAAAAGTGGGTAATAATTGAACAAAATATTCATTTTTTTATTTAAAGTCTTGGTCCGTGAAGATAAAAAACAATCGATCAATAACTACATTTTTAAAGATAGAGAAACAGAGGCATAAAGGGCAGAGAAAAATTCATTATTTATTCATAAGTTTTAAGCCCTACACCATATTTCAGAAAGAATAAATATCAAAGTATTTCAATCAAGAAAATCAAAACGAAATAAATACTCCGTATCTAAAAATTGATCAAGATTTTCATTGGTTCGTCCGTGTAACAAATCAAAAGAAATCTTACAACTTAGGGTTTGTTGGGAAAAATATAAATCTAGATAAGATGTAAAGAATAAAACAAAACAAAATATATCATAGAAGATATAAAATCTATATCTATATATTAATTAACTCACTTAAGTGAGACTCCCGCCTAAAGTTTGGGGCATTTTCGTAACTCTGTTTCCACGCTTCTCTTTACTTTCTACCCTTCCTATTGAAAATTTCCTCCGGCCTACATAGCTTTACTCCAGCAACTGCGTTCATCTTTGTACTTCCCCACCGGAATAAAACTTCACATACACCTCTTCCACTTTTGCTGAATTTACTCCTAATTCAGATTAGCTTGAAAGAGCTTCAGAAGTGGGATACTCCTTTTTCGATTGGGCGCGTATGATGAAGGAAGAAGAGGAAAAATCAGCAAAAGTGGAAGAGGTGTATGTGAAGTTTTATTCGGGTGGGGAAGTACAAAGATGAACGCAGTTGTTGGAGTAAAGCTATGTAGGTCGGAGGAAATTTTCAATAGGAAACAGAGTCACGAAAATGCCCCAAACTTTAGGCGGGAGTCTCACTTAAGTGAGTTAATATATATAGCCATCTGATTTTTTTCACGGTTCAGATTACTTATTCATTAAAAGGATAAGATAGCTCTATCTTTTGCGCCAAACACGTCTTTCAGCCTGAGATTAAAAATCCTCCGCTCCAGAACACTATGCTTTTCTCTTTGAAGGAGCTCTCTGTTCAGCCGCTCTTTAATTTTTAATTTTACTATCAAATCGAGGAAATCACCCCTACTCAGGTAAATCAAGTTTATTACATTGCTTTGAATTAAGAACACATCGTAAGATTATTAACTTTTGACATGGCCACTTAGTTATGAAATGATGTTTTGCTTTTTTGTATTACGTCGCTTTGTTTTCTCTGTACTACATGACCCAATGTTTGTAGATAAGGAAAAAAATGAATTATGTATTGTTTTTTAAAATTGGTCTGAAAGAAACTGAAATGATTAAAGCTTGTGATTGAACAGATGTCAAGAAAGGTGAGATATATGAATGGAAGTGATTAAATAATATGATATTTAATCTCCGCAGTTGTCATATTTGTTGGTTAAATTACCATATTTTGACTAATACAATATTAGCAGTTAGAAGCGCAGTTATCTTCAAGAATTCATTTAAATGTTTTCCCGATTGAAGTTTTAGCTGAAATTTGGTATGAGCAAACTAGACTTGATGAATAAGATGCTCAAAAAATTTCATCAAAAAATTTCACCGGGAACCACTCCAAATGGCGACGGCCGGACAAAGCCTCCTAAATAAGGGCTTATTTGATCTTTTTTTGTTAGTACATGGGCCTATTTGCACCTTTTCCCCCAAATCTTTAACTTTCACTATTTGAGGCTGATCCTCGCGACCTCACCCTCGCCTAGTCTCTTGCTTCTCTCAAACATCTTTTTTAACTTTTGCACAAGTCCACATGTTGATTGTTTGATTTTGGTCAACTATGCGCTGAATTTTGTAATAATAAGAAAAATTAAGATTATAATTATATTTTTTGTGGCATTGGATGAAGATATTGTAGATGATCATTTTAACTATTTTTCAAATAATTTTTCTTTATTTTATTAATAAAATATATTTTAACATAATTTTTTCATAAATCAGCAGAATCGGCCAATAGATTTTTAAGCCAGAAATTCATAAATTTTAACAGAATCAACCGATTTACCTAATTTCAAATTTCAATGTTACCAAAAAGCTCTTTATATAATAAAATGAGTCTCATGTAGAGATTAGTAAAACCACAGCACATTTCCAATGGACTAAAAAACAGATAATAGTATTCCCATCGATTAAAACGAAATCTCCGTGGTGACTACGACACCAAAATGTCTTTGACTAGTTAATCGCCAGGTCTTCCGTTGGCCGTGATTGAGGTGCTAAAATTATGGCTCAATATAATAATCGATTTATGTTTCTATGGCTGAATTTTAGTGTTGTGGTGTATGTTAATATTTGGAAAAGCACTCATTTCTTCCTGGACCACATGTTAGTATTTTAGGGGATTACAAACATTTATAAGTTCTGAAATTATATACTCCATAATAAACACTACAATTCCATTATAATTTTAAACCACACTGTTCTACAACAATAACACTGGCAATGATGTAATAAATTGACAGTCAAATTAAAGTAGTCGTAGAATGGGAGGACTATGATTAAAAGAATGGTGGTAAAAAAGTACAGTCAAAAAGAAAAAGGAGAAAATGAAAACAAAGAAATTAGCATGGATAAGATCTACGTAGTAGTATATAAATCATATAGGCCGGTTTTCATTTGGTACTACTTAAACACGCAGTAAATTAAATTAAACAGTAAAAACACCTTATTGCATTATATTGCTCCCACATTTATCATCTCAAGATTATATTACGTACAGAAACTTATCAGTAATTCAGTATTAGTGTTACTGTTATTAGAAGCTAATTAAGCACTGTTGCTATATATAGGTAGGTTAACCATGAAAACCACTACCTCTCCTGCCCTGATAATTATCTTCCTCTTTTCAGCACTACAACTCCCTGCAGTTCTCAACTCAATCAGGCCGCCGCCTTGCCCCGCCCCCGCCCCCGCCGCTGCTGCCACCAGATCATTCATCAACGAAAGCTGTTATTCAGCACAGAACCTGGACTCAAATGCATGCTACCATTGGCTTTCCGCCCACGTCGTTGAAACGGAGCAGCCGAGGGTCAACAAGCTGGTCAAGGCGGCCATAAACCTCACCATGGAAGAAATCACATCATCCGTAATCCCGAAAATTAACAACACATTGTATGAAAAGAGAGTTAAGGCCCTGTCGGAGAAAGATAGAAATATAGCGTGCGGTTGCTTGGAGCACATGGACGATTCCATAGGCAGAATGAAGGACACGCTGGATCAGATGTATGATCTCACGCAAAATGATTTGGCGTTTCAGATTAACAACCTGCAGACGTGGATGAGTGCCGCGCTTACGAATGTTGACACGTGTTTGGATGACGAAACCCCATCTGTGTCGGATACTACGCTACAAACCTTGCTGAGGAGATCAGTCGGGAACGTTAGAAAGCATACAGTCATCGCCCTCTCTTTGATCAACTATTTTGCCTCCAAGTGTTACTCAGACCTAGCCCCGGCCCCGGCCCCCACACATTGATAAAAATGGAGGCCCCACCATATAATATAAAAAGATGTACGTACTCTCTCGGAAATAACTTCCCACTTTGACTAGAGCACATTTTAGTGAAAAGTTAAAGTGAGTAGTTGGATTTCCAATAATGTCCTTACATTATCTCAAATAATGTAAAAATTACAAACTTTTTATGTTAATAGGATGTACATTTTGGGACAATTAAAAAAAGAAAGTGAGAAGTTGTTTCGGAGACGGAGGTAGTATTTCGTATCACTATATATATATATATATATATATATATATATATATATATATATATATATATATATATATATATAGAGAGAGAGAGAGAGAGAGAGTAGTCTTCTTGTCCAGCCGGCCTGACGGGAACCGCCGTCCGGCCGAGGGCATTTCGGGCACTTCCCGATGGAATTTTTTGATGAAATTTTTTGAGCATGTTCTTCATGAAGTCTAGTTTATCCATACCAAATTTCAGCTCAAAATTCGATCGGGAAGGCATTCAAATAATTTTGTGAAGTTAACTGGGCAGTTTATATGTATGAACTGCCCAGTTAACTTCAAGAAATTATTTGAATGCCTTCCCGATCGAATTTTGAGCTGAAATTTGGTATGGATAAACTAGACTTCATGAAGAACAGGCTCAAAAAATTTCATCAAAAAATTCCATCGGAAAGTTCCCGAAATGCCCTCGGCCGGACGGCGGTTCCCGTCAGGCCAGCTGGACATGAAAAGTCCTCTATATATATATATATATATATATATATATATATATATATATATTATATATACACACACACACTAGGTAGTTTACTCGCTACTCGGTAGCAACTCGGTCAAGGGCCGAGTAGCGAGTAGAACCAATTACTCGGAATTACTCGGCCTTGTATTAATTAAATATAATAATATAGGTGTCCGAGATTATAGAAATATAGTAGTCTTAAAATAGTCTTTAAATTGTCTTAAAATGTATAGAAGTGAATAAAATGATAGAAATCTTATTATCCTAATGATGGAGTAGCAAAATCCTATTATCCTAATGATAAGAAACAAGACAGAGAAGGGGAATATATGAATCCTAAGGATATCAATTCTGACTAAAGCTCCAAACATACACACTGCCAAGGAAAAATTAATATAAATATGAAAGCTTAACATGTAGCTTAGTATAAAGAGAACTTAATGCCTCAAGAATTTAATAACTAAGAAACTTAGCAACTTGGAATTCAATGGTCAAAAATTGCGGCTGCAGCAGTTTGGATAAACGAGAGGGAAGAATTTAACAGTTTGGATAAACTTAATAACTAAGAAACTTACCAACTTGGAATTCAATGGTAAAAAATTACGGCTGCAGCAGTTTGGATAAACGAGAGGGAATTAGTAATCCCATGATTGATTTAACTTTTCTAACAAGAGGGAAGAATTGAAGAAACGATGGAAAGAATTTACCCGTTGATGTCACAAGCGCAGCTCCTCGCAGTAGCGTTGTAGCGCTCGCAGGAGTCACACGTCCTCCCCCCAGCACTTCCCACCAGCACTGTATCAGTCGCAGCTCGTATTAGTAGCGGTCAGAGCTCCTGGCAGTAGCATTTGCAGCTCCAAACGATGTAGCAGCAGTAGTCGAAGCTCCAAACAATGACCAGTAGCGATTACATTTTTAGGTTTTGTAAGCGCAGGTTTTTTTTATATATACCGTCGGTTAATACCGAGTAATAGCGAGTAATAGCGAGTAACTCGCCAATTTGACCACCTTGCCGAGTTGACTAACTCGCCGAGTACTCGGCGAGTAACTCGGAAAATTAACTCCGGCCGAGTTAAGGTGCTACTCTGCAAGGTAGGAGGCCGAGTAGAGAGTACTCGCCGAGTAGATAACCGAGTGTGTATATATATATGTATAGAGAGAGAGAGAGAGGAGGATTCTAGTGAGAACCCCTTTTAAAATGAGAACTCATTTTAAATTGAGAACCTCTAATCTCCATCATTAATTTTTATCATCAATGGCTAATAATGAAAAGGTGGATTAATTGCATAAGAACCCCATTTGAATTTGGGGTAATTATGAATATGACCCCATGTGAATCATAATCAATGATTGTAATAAATGAAAGGTTGAGATTTAAAGTTCTCATTATAAAGAGTTCTCATTTTAGGAGGGGTTCTCACTAGAACCCTCCCCTATATATATATATATATATATATATATATATATATATATATATAGTAGTCTTCCTATCGAGCCGGCCTGACGAGAACCGCCGTCCGGCCGAGGGCATTTCGGGCACTTCCCGGTGGATTTTTTTGATGAAATTTTTTGAGCATGTTCTTCATGAAGTCTAGTTTATCCATACCAAATTTTAGCTAAAAATTCAATCGGGAAGGCAGTCAAATAATTTGTTGAAGTTAACTGCGCAGTTTATATGTATGAACTGCCCAATTTGTTGAAGTTAGCAAATACTCCGTGATCTTTTACTTTCTGACTTAATTACTGTTTTATTTATTCTACTTTATCCATGTTCATTTCTACACGCAGAATACTACCTAGCAGTGACTAAACTATATGACCAGACTAGTGATAAAGCAGTTTAGAGTTCAGACTAGTGATAAAGCAGTTTTGATGAAATTTTTTGAGCATGTTCATCATGAAGTCTAGTTTATCCATACCAAATTTTAGCTAAAAATTCAATCGGGAAGGCAGTCAAATAATTTGTTGAAGTTAACTGCGCAGTTTATATGTATGAACTGCCCAATTTGTTGAAGTTAGCAAATACTCCGTGATCTTTTACTTTCTGACTTAATTACTGTTTTATTTATTCTACTTTATCCATGTTCATTTCTACACGCAGAATACTACCTAGCAGTGACTAAACTATATGACCAGACTAGTGATAAAGCAGTTTAGAGTTCAGACTAGTGATAAAGCAGTTTTGATGAAATTTTTTGAGCATGTTCTTCATGAAGTCTAGTTTATCCATACCAAATTTTAGCTAAAAATTCAATCGGGAAGGTAGTCAAATAATTTGTTGAAGTTAACTGCGCAGTTTATATGTATGAACTGCCCAATTTGTTGAAGTTAGCAAATACTCCGTGATCTTTTACTTTCTGACTTAATTACTGTTTTATTTATTCTACTTTATCCATGTTCATTTCTACACGCAGAATACTACCTAGCAGTGACTAAACTATATGACCAGACTAGTGATAAAGCAGTTTAGAGTTCAGACCTGAACTCGAATTGCCAAATCCTGTTGGAAAAAAAGCACCAATATGTTCTCATTGTGCCTCTTGCTGCGCTCAATGCTAGCAGAATCTGACCATCCCGTTGAACAGCCATCCCGCTTCAACTCACCAATACCATCCTTGTGAAATATCAATGTCTAACATTAAATATTCTTTTTCTATGTGAGTAATGCCAACCACATTGACTTCCCACACCAAACAAAGTCGGGCCCCAGGCCTTCATTAAAATGTCGAAAATACCTCCTTGAACCACAGTATCCTGATGTTGCTGAAGTGCTTATATATGTCTCTTGAACCATTATGCGAAATCCTTTCACCAAAAGCACCACGATTCACTACGCAGTTCCTTTTACCTGGAATTAGTGCAGAGAAAATAAAACATTAACATATATTCTTCCAACCAACCATGAAGGATACATAAAAAATCTAGCAACAAAACCCCATGAAAATGGGGAAAAGCAATATTTCATCAACCTGGACATAGGTTGTCTTATCATCAATTTTTTTAACATATCATTCACAATTTCAGATGATTCCTCCATTCCTCAACCTATCCCTACAGGCTGAAACAACCCAATTTCTTCCCATGCACCATTTCTCATGCTATTCCCACGCTCATGTGCACCATTTCTCATCCCTTTGTTTCGACGATCCCACCAAACTAAATACACTATAATATTTTCCCACTTTCTATTGAAAAAAGGAAAAATTAAGAAAATATTTCAGTTGATGTACTTGAGATGTTTTTGGTGTGAAGAAGAAATAACAATTGGCATTAGGATTGGATTTCTTCGCTTAACACAAAACAACGAGTTTTTTGAGTGGAAAATGACAGTTTATTACTAACGCATATTGCAAGAATATGTGCAAAGTACATACATCATCAACTAAACTCAATGAATCTGAATCACTAAATGAGCCAATTAAACCTAAAACAGACAATTGTGCATACTCAAAATTTATTCTGCCATGCTTATCGTTTGAATGAAGTTTCATAAGATAAGTGCTCCTATCAATAGATATTTCCTCATCCATGTGTGGATCAACTCTAGCTTCACATTTTTCTAGACTATCTGTTACTGTAAATATAATAATAATTCCCTTTAAGAAAAACAAAAACACGAAAACAAGTCAATCAAGTAAATAAAGTATTAGATAGGAGGATAATGAAATCAATCAATCAATGAATAATCTGCAAATGCATACGACCTGTAGCAAGTCCCGATCACCCAGTGGATGGAAAAACATTCTTATCCGTCTCAATCATACTGTACCCATGGATCTTCCTATGACCAACGCTATGCATTTTTTACCTAACACTCTTGCATTCCCTCCACTCCCCTCTCTGCAAATACATTGCTTAACAACGTATCCACTATCCACAGTCTGTACATTCAAAAGGTTCTCCTGACTGCTTCTGATAATATCAGTTTTGTGGCGGATTCTACACCCATTTATAAGTGAACCCCAGATGCTAGCATCTACAAGGGATGGCATTGATTTGATAATCTCATATGCTCCTATATCGCCTGCCCGACTAAGAAGAATCACTAGGCATGCAATTGGTTTTTGGCTCAATAGCAAACCAAACATGGCCTTAAAATAATATTTCCCTTCATTCAAATACCCAGTGTGACTACAAGCAGAGAGGATACTCATGAAAATGACATCATTTGGCCTTATTCCAGAATCTACCATTTGAGTAAAGAGTGATATTGTGGCATTGATATGACCGTGCATGCCATAACCGCCTATCATCGCACTCCATGAGATTATACTTTTCTCGGCAATTCTCTCAAAAACCCGTTGAACCGTTCGAAGGTCTCCACATTTAGCATACATTTCTATCAGAGCTGTGTTGATGTACAAATCGTACTTCACTACACCAAAGACGATCAGCTTATCATGAATCCAAAGGGTATAGATATAAACTAGTAGATGAAGACGAGAGTTACACATGATAAACTAGCAGTATAGATATAAATGTTTGGATTGTATAGAGTATATAAGAAGAAGCAGATGCTGAAAAAAAGAAGAAAGAAAATGGAACAATGAAGAGAACTGCACATGATAGACTACTATACTGGTAGTTTACATATATGTGTTTGACTTGTATAGAGTTTATAAGACAAAAAGATGCTGAAAATAGATAAAAACAAAGAAAATGGAACAATGAAAGAGAAGAAAACTTACTGTCATTGATCGTTGAGTGCTGCCAGCTTATGCGGTTGATGTGGGGGAGGTAACGAGCACTGAGGTAACGTGTGTAGAGCAGAGCAGGAGAGTTGAAGTAGCGAACTTAAAGATGGGCTTTTTATTTAAAATAGTATGAAATTTAAATATTAGGCTTAAACATGTGTTTCCTATTCAGGAGAGAATAGCGAGCGCTTTTCAGGGCTTCTGCGCCTAACCTGCACCTTACACAGGGAGCTGCGCCTGGTCGTTGTTCAGTCACTAGGGCTGGTGTGTGCTGCCCCTGGTGCGCTTAAGCGCCCAGGCGCTTGCTTTTGACTACACTGCACCAACCATGAATTGTCCATGCTCATTTCTAAGAAAGGATCCTCTAACAGCCCTATTATTAATAAAGATCTGGGTTCTCTACTTGAAAAGTACTCGCAACTAGGGTACTGGCCTTGCCGAGTAGCTAGCTAACTCGGTCCATGTTTTATTTCCGAGTTTCTCGCCAAGTACTCAGCGAGTTTCTCAACTCGGTGAAGTTTTCAACTCGGCGAGTTACTTGTTCTTACTCAGTCCCTGATAAAATTGAAAATTTATGTTACAAAACCTAGATTAAACGGAGTTCCAGACATCGGCTAGCCTCATAGAGCTGCGACTAGTTCGCATCATCTTTCTCGTATCTTCTCATCTTCCCTCGTTTCTTCTTTTTTCCCCCTACCGTCTTTCTTTACCAGTTGTTCTTTTCCGTGTTCTTAAAATATCGCCATCTTGATTGTTTAATATTGATATGCACATATATGGTGACATAAAGAAATTCTTTTCACCAGTATGACTATATATATTATAATACGTAATTTTTAAGTAATATCACTATATTGATTGTGTACTATGGCACATCATTGATCGATACATACTGACACACATCATCTAATTGGCAATCATGAACTCTACTCAGTCTGCTAAGGCTTCTAATTAATGGTGTTGAATCTGCTAATACTACCTACACTTAAGAGAAAATCAAATGATGTAGGATGGCCGTGGGGAGAGAACAGAGATCCTACCAAATTATTAGATGATTGATTTTCTAGAAAACTTGGAATGTTTATGACTTTTGCCACTCCATCATTAGGATTTCTATCATTTTATTCATTTACTACTCACTACTCGTCCCTTGACCGAGTCACTATCGAGTAGCGAGTTAACTACCTAGATAAAGATTGCTTTCACTGTTTCACACTAAGTTATAGATATGCTTGTTTCGTCTAATCTATTCAACCACACTAATTCTTAGCCTTCGTGTTTGAAAGATAGGAGGAAGAAACTCTGCAATCTTGTGCACTTGTGCTCCTATTGTTTCACGGTTTTCACAAAATTCCTTTGAAATATTCCAGTAGATAATAACCAACTATTTCTTTTTTCAGTGAATCATTGGCAGCATTTTCGAGTGCAACAATACCATCAAATGTGACTCCCATTATCATTTGAAGGAATGACATATGCTAGAAGCGTAGTCCCAAAAACATGAGAGTTCAAAGTTGAAAAAAGGATTTCAACTCTAATATAATAGATAAACATCAAAGTTTAAATTCAGAAGATAATTCAATAGATACTCATACTCCTAGTGTTTTTTTATTACTTAAGGGAATAAAATTTAAACTGAAGTAGTGAACTCGGATAGTAAAACTCCACTTCATCATTAGTTTCCATTACTATATTCTAATATCAAGAAACTTGAAAGAACAAAACGATAAAAGGAAAAGAAGCAATCGCATTACTCTTAAACCATTAGCAGTACTCATTTTACAAGTTATATACTTATATTATCAAGTAATTTATGGTAATACGTAGTGCATCATAGCCAAAGTTTGGAATAATGGAAAATCGCTATTTCACAGGTTGGAATAAAAAATTATCACATCATCAAGTTAGTTTACAGATTGGAAGTCATACGAATCAAAGTAAAAATTGAATAACTTTCACCCCCAAAGTGAACTTTTTTGTTTACACCCAGGACGAGACCAAGTTCTTCAATTTAAAACGTCCATAATACCAAGAATCCAACATCGATATATATCTAACAACTGAATATATTCATGTAGATGCTTCTTATAAAACTAAAATAGACGAAATCATAGTATACTAAAAGCTGAAGCAATATTTAAGCTAGCTTCTTGGCCAGAATGTTAATATGTTATAATCATAGTAGTCACGGCGCACGGCGACCGGCATGGCGCGGGGGTGATTTCACACGGCGATGGCGATGGCGCTAAAATGGCGCTAAAATGGCGCACCAGTAAAACACAACATCAAAAAAATTTAAACATAACATAATACACAATATATGTGTATGACTTAACCACCAATTAAAGAGTTAAATTTTAATTTTTAAATAACCAAAAATAGCACCAAAAATAATCCAAATCAAATTAAATAACTTATATGGTTCAACGGTTCAACCGTCCAGTCAATTGGCCCACAAAAAATGAGAGGAAGTGAAAAACAAAGAGAAACAGAGAAGGCTTCTAAGTTCTAACTTTACCCCCAAAAAAAAAAGAACGGGTTCTAAAGAAAGGCTTTTAACTTTTAAGTTATTCTGCCAGACTTCAATCTAAAATAGCGAAGAACTAAAACCACGAAGCAAGCAATCTGTGTGCGATTAGAGTTGGTGACCAATTTCAGCAACAATCGACGGCGACGCGACCAGCTACAGCGACGGCGACCAGCTACAGCGACTTCGACAACGACCAGCTACAGCGACTTCGACGGCAACCAGCTACAGCGACTTCGACGGCGACCAGCTACAGCGACTATCGAACCAAAGTCGCGACCCAGACGCGTGTGATAGTGCCATTATTTGGCGCAAAATGGCGATAGCACACATTTGGCAACACAACCTGTAACCTGTGCGCCATAGCCAAAAATAGTGGTGAGGACCCCCTGAATCGCCAAAGGCGAGAAATGGCGATCTCCATTTGCGCCATTGACTACTATGGTTATAATAAATAACATACATATATATTACTCCCTCCGTCCCAAAATGATGGTCCTGTATTTCCTTTTTGGGATGTCCCAAAATGATGGTCTTGTTTCCCTTTTTGGTAAAGAACTAAAAGTGAATTACCATTTATACCCCTCCCTTTTAATGAACAGTAAAAGTAAAAGGATGAACAATACAATAAAGTAAGGTTCTTTAGTCTTTCTACCACACTTTCTTAATCTTTGTGCCCAAAAGAAACAAGACCATCAAATTGGGTCGGAGGGAGTATTAACAAGCATTTAAGCATACTGCAAAAACATGCTACCCCTCTTATATGTCTAGTTACATGTAAACAGTCTTGCTTACCTTGAAAAACTAAAAAAGGATGCTGAAAGATGTTTTTACTTCATACCGGCCTGGTGCACATTGGCATCCCTGCAAGGTGAGGGTTCGGGAAAGGGTACCACCACAAAGGTCTGCCTCTAAAACAACAACAAAATCCAAACTGTGTTCTTCTGACTTAACTCATGCCAGAAGATCCTCAAAAGGTAATCAAATTCATATGCAACTGAAGCAAGTATAATCAACAACGGATCAACCTGATGTCACCATATTCACTATTTTGTATACATCAGCTCATCCAACACCAAACATAAAACTCAAATCCAAAAATAAGACATAGACAATATGTTGTCTAATTTGAGAAACAATTACTAGAAATCAGATAAAGGTGTCTCCTACAAGGCTACAAGTAATTGCATCTTTTTCACCAACGCTCTCTAGGCCGACCATCAGGGAAAACGGGTATGGCAAGAACCTCCTCATCCTTCCTCTTTGGTTCGTAAATCATTCTGACTGGTTTTACACTTTCCGGGTTTATAAGTTCACCATCATCATCAGTAAAGTCAGGGGGCAAATCATCATCACCGTCATCGCTCCACTCACCTTCATCAGGGTAATCTTCATTATCATCTTCATTTTCATCTTCGTCATCAAATCCATCACTCACTAAATTTTTAATGCCTGACTCCTCTCCACCATCCCATTTACTTTTATTTTTACTACTTTTATTACTACTATTATCATTATCATAATCAATGCTTCTCCTAATAGACCGTTGAACAGAAACAAGAGAACGCATCTTTTCCTTTATGAGCAATAATCTATCCTTCTCTATTAATTGAGAATTGTGATATGCTTCGCGGAGAAAGACGGAGTCCCTAGTACCTTTCAGAGAGACATAGAACATGTCGGGGTGCCTGATCAACATCCCTCTCAGCTGCTGAGAAAACCGAAACTCCTCGCGAAAATGAGTGAGATTGTCGATGAGGGTGCGTTTCTCTACCGTGAGGCTCAATATCTCATGCACCACGCTGCATGCATGCTTTTCTTTCTCCGGGGTGCCGGAATTGTACATGGAGAAGTTGGAGTATGGCGAAATGTAAGGCATATCTCTGAACTGACATATTCTTCTCATGTCCCCCTTAGAGAGATTAAGACCCTTGGGCAACTTCACCCTGTCAAACTTTGGCAATCTATTGATGATCAAATTCCTCTCTTCCCTTTCGCGTTGTCGCCTCTCCTCATCCTCAACCTCGGCCACGGACACAGCAAGCTCTGGATCCCAATCAGTCAACTCCAAAGCCGGGCCCCGTTCGGTTTGAACCACCTTGAAGTATTGGGGGTATCTGACACAAATGGTGTCACGGAACTCTAAAGGAAGCCCAAAATCAGTCTTCAAATGTGCAATCTTCTCCAAGAGAATCCGCTTATCTAGAGACATCATTAGTAGTTTCCTAAGCTTAATCACCAACAAATCCTCCATCGCATTCCTAGCTTGCATCTCCTCTAAATACAGTCTCTCTGCCTCCGGGGTTAGCTTAAACTTCAGAGAATAAGCACCTTCTTCTACTACCTCAAATACAGCGGGGAACTTTTTCAACAGGGCAATGAATCTTCTTTTTTTATCGAGGCCCAATGCTTTCCTGTACCTACCTAATTCGCGGAGTGCCATGATTCTGTTGGGTTGGCTCATCAGAAGCTTCCTGATTTTTAAAACAAGTTTCAGTTTCTTTTCCCTTTCAATCACATTATCAAATTGGATCTCTTTCCTCCTCTTCACAGAAGCAGCTCTGATGGGAAGGATGGGGAAACGGGGTTTCCTCAAGTTATCACCAAAGGGTTCAGTCTTTCCTTCAAAAAAATCCAAGCTTTTTCCAACGAACCAAGTCATCTGGAAGTGTTGTTTACTTACAGAGAGATGAGAGGCCGATGGAAGGTTCGATTTTTGAAGTAGTGAGCATTTATATGAGAGGAAGACAGGCAAAACACCACAACACGACGTCATTTTTAGTGAAGATAAAAAAAAACGTCGGGTTCCAAGGAAGCCTTCAGATGAAATGATTACTGCATCAGATAACCAGACTACCCGTAGGATTCCCAGAGGCAAATCTGCGATATTCACAAACTCACTTCCCCGAACTTGCAGGTCGAGCAGAGGATGAATGGGATACATATAGTTAGGGCTACTAAGGGAAAAAAACAATAAGTAGGTGTTTGGATCTGATTCTTGAAAGTGGCTTATGGGAGCAGAAGTAGAAAGGGAGAATTACACAAATAAGACTTAAACATATGAAGTTTCTAAAATCAGGACTATAAACTAGCGTAGGACATAAGTGCACATGTTTTGACTATTATACCCCTGATTTATAATCAATTGCTCAACCGAGAAAAAGATTGCAGCGATGAACTCTTTGTCGGAGCAGGCTTCACGCAGAGCATCAGCAAGCTTCCAAATCGATCTGCTCCATCTGCTCCTTCCCTTGGCGGCGAGAGTCCATAAGAAGTCTCCCGAATAGTATGGTTGTCGACCACGGTACACGGAGTCTGATTTCTTCGACGAACTTGACTGAGAGCATCCACAAGCTTCGACGAGTACATCTGTTGAGCTGCTCGATTCTTCCTCCTGAGTCCATCCACACAGGTAGGCGGCGTCTAATCCCGGTCCGAATCACCGATTTTCCTCTGCTTCTTCCGTGATAGGTTTGAGATGACATTAAGATTTGCGATCGAAGATGATAATTCCATCGTATCAATTCAATCATCGAAGTCGTTGAGTTTCTGGAACAGAATGCTCGTCTTCTATTTTTGTGGTATTGCAGACCGGAACTTGGAAGCAGAATTTTAGGGATTCAATTGCAACTCAAAATTAAAGTGCATGAGAAGACATTAATTAGTCCTTAATGGCATATGCACAGACATCAAACCCCTCCACATTAAACTTCTACAACTAAGAGGATGGGTATATGTTGAGCGACTCTGATATTCTTTACATATGTTAATACATTATAAATGCTTACCTTTATATTTAAACGTGTACAGGGACAATTGTTGTATGTTTGTCATCAAATTTGCTAAATTTCTAATGATGGATAAAGATTTGAGTGAAGTTTTGAAGGAAGATGTTGATAGGTACCGCTAAAAATGACGATGGAGCAACTGTTGTATGCATCAAGTCATCAAGATGGAAGTAGTTAGGCTACGATGCTTTGTAATAATTTAGATTAGGATGTTGGGAAAGTAAGAACATGTAAAAAAAATTTGGTCATTAAGTGTTGTTCCTAAATATTGATGACAACTGATTTGTCTATATGTAATCTTCTTTTTAGTGGCATATCAAATGTTTGGTCACTCTTATGCAGTATTGAGTTTATTTATAATTGTGGTTGAAGTAAGCAATACAGTCCATAAGTAGACAGTAAAAAGTCCTTGGTGTCTCAAGCGTAGACATTAAATTCATTCAGACGTAAATAAAAGTACAAACTTTAGTACACAAATATGAAGCAACATGAAATTTGATAGATTCAAATGTTGAAATTAAATTTAGATATATTTCTCATGCAAAATACAATACAAATTACATGGATATGAACATAAAGATCTATACATTTCTTTTGAAGACAAAAATAGATGTATGAGTACAATCAAGAGACTATTGTGTTCGCTTAGCACTTCCGCAACCTCATATCTTCAATTAGCACTTCATTAACCTCCTGTCTTCAATCAGCAGGCGTGTGAGGCATGTTGGTGATACTTAGTGGGAGTACAGTAACATTGTGCACATTTCTCAACACCTATCTCATACAAAGCTTTGGAAGATTTTTTTCAACAACTTCAAACTCATGTGCAGTAACCTAAAAATGCATATACCAAAGGAAATAACAGTAAGTAAAAGTATATTTCCTTTTCGATGTATCAAAAAAAAGTAAGTAAAAGTCTACTATGAAAAAAGAAATAAAAAGCAGTTGGAAAAAATAGTTCTAAATAGTTAATTAATTTACCAACATCAATGAGGACTCATGGAAGGTACAAAGCTTGCCCTCAAAATGTCGAGAGAGGATAATTTATTTATTTATTTCCACCTTCCTGTGAGCAAAACAAACTAAAAGTCCCACACACTTATGGTATGAAACAAACTAAAAGTCTCACCTTCCTGTGAGCAAAACAAACAGGACATTATGATTTGTGAATTTAAGAACTGCAAACTTAAATAGCATTCCTACAAGACTTTAATTGGGTCCTCATTTCTTACACCTTGAACACTGATGCAACTATATATTCCAGCTGAATGTACACACTGCTTTTTATATCTAAGGGTTGTCAAACTTGCAAACACTAGACAATACATAGACACTACATAGTCAATAAATAGACAATAAGTTCCGATAATACTACAATAGCAGAGAAGGTAGCAGAAACTCCCTCAACTGACAATTGCCATATGCAGAGTAATTGCACAAATAAACAAGACGATCAAAGAACAAATATGAAGTAGAAAAAATAGAAACATGTGTTGGAGAGTAAAAATAAAGAAGAGAAACATTGAATTGAGATTTAGAGGTCAGAATGCGAATTAAAACTTGAAGATGATAAAATTGATAACAAGTATACACAAATTTCGTTTATACACTAACACATCAAACTATAAAGTCTTTTTTTTTTTTAAGAAATTAAGATTAAAACTTACCAAAAAACGCAGAATATTTGTGAAGCGTAAGAAGGCTGCTGAAAGACTAAATGATGCTTCGGGACAATCAGCGGAGCATACGAGAATGATTTAAACTGGAGAAGTGCGATCGGATGATTTCAAAGACCAAGAAAGTGAGATCAGATGATTAAAAGATGAAGTGTGAAGGAAGAAGAATGAGCGCTGAAGAAGAAAGATCGTTGCGGAAGTTCTTCATCTTTAATGCTCTTTCTCAAGTGAAGGGTAAAAACGGAAGTTAAAAATAGAGTTTCTGAAAATAGAAGTATGTAAGTATTACAGATGGGAAAAACCTAAACAAGTCCTACTTTTGTAAAAATTGCATGATTTTGTCTCACCGGCAGCAATTTCCTCAAGTGGAAACCGGAGTGTTTGGGTGAAAGTGTATAAGTGATTCTGATATTCTAATTTATTCCCAGAATCAATTTTTTTTACCCCAACTTCTGAAAACTCATTCTGATTCTGATTCTGCTTTAAAAAAGAAGCAAAATCAGAATCAGTTCCAAACACCCCCTAAGTTATCATAAACTCTTAAACAATACTCTTGAAAAATGGAAAAATGGGTGGCGTACACAAAATGTGTACACCTTTTTTGTACACATGTCTGTCCCCAGCAGACAAGTTGTTTGACAAACAACTTGTTTACCGGGGACAAACATGTGGACAAAAAACATGTACACATTTTGTGTACACCTAGCTCAACCCTGAATAATAATAAAAAGGATGGTTGCTTAGGCGATTAATTGAAAAATACTCAATTGAAAAATATTCAAAAGGACAATAGGCGATTAACCGTTTTTTTGAATGGGTGAATAACCGTTTTAAATAAATAGATAAAAATAACAATGTAACTGGTGGATTAGTGGATAACCGTTCAAAAAATTTAGAGCCCGTTTGATAGCACCAAAATCGGCTGTTTTGGCTGATTCTGCTGAAATTTATGATATTCTGGCTGGAGTGGCTGTTTTGGCTGATTTTGCTGATTTAAGAAAAAAATATTTTAAAAATATATTTTATTAATAAATTAAAGAAAAAAGTATATGTAAAAATAGCTAAAATGGTCCTCTACAGTAACTTCAGCCAATACAGCCAGAAAAGTAACTCCAACCTTACTTTTTCGGCTTATTACACAATTCAGCGCGCGAAAGTAAAAGTTACGTGTTTGGTGAAAAAGCTGGCTGATAAGCCTGATAAGCCGAAAACAGAGTTCTCCAAACGGGCTCTTATAGTGTATATAACAAATTATATTGTGGAATCGACCTACGGTGAGCAACTTAATCAAAAAAATATTATTATCACGTTTAAAACAACATTGAGTAATTAAAATAACATTTGTAATTCAGAATCCACATTGTATAATTCGAAATCATGTTTATATCTAAAAATAATATTTCTAAATTGTAAATAATTTGCATCTCCATATAGGATCAATAGTCATTCATCAAAAATCATATATTTATGGTAATCCGAGATACTTGCCTCACTTTAAGGTAGTGAAGTTTATTTAAAGTGGTGATTTTTGAAATTATAAACTTGATTGAAATTTACTCCTTTCGTCTCTTAACTTTATTAACTTTACTTTTTTTATTTTACCGCTAAATTTGTCAGTTTCCCTTTTAAGTACTACATCCGTCCCACCACATGGTAAGCTTGAGAGAGAGAGGCTCTAACATCTCTCTAACCCTAATCAACGTTTTTCCCTAGCGGCTTTGCCGTCGCATAGGGTTTTGTCTCCCTAGCGGATTGCCGTCGTGTAGGGTTTCTTTCCCCCAATTGTTTGTGTGACTCTTCTTCTGTAAGCTTCTAGAGTGCTTTTTAAGGAGGCGTGGGTGCGGCTGCATTATTTGAAACGAATCCAAGGTTCAAGAAACGATAATCATTTCTTCTATGAATGTTCTAGAGCAGTGTTGTCTTATTCCTGCAATTGAGGAGAAGGTCGAAGGGTTAGTTTCTGACGAATCAACATGGGTAAAGGGCGGTGGTAGTAGTGGAGGCGGAACGAGCGACGAGAAGACGAGGACAGGTGAAGGGCTGAGCAAGGGAAAAGATAGATCGACAGTCCTTCCCCCTCCTGAACCGCTGCCTTGGAGCGATCCAGTTGGCGGACCTGTGAAGGTGTTCATGAGAATGGAGAGGGACGTTTATTTTTTTGCATTTTTTATTGTTGTTTTATTTAAGCAGACTGTTTATTGCTTTGTTGTTGTTATTTATTATTGTAAGACTCTTGCATTAAGATGGGGTGAGTTTAGATCTACTTTAATCGTCTGTGGCTCAGGTTTGTCCATTAATGGATCAACGAGTTATATTGCTTGTTTGAATGTGATCAACTCCAAGTCTGGTTTGAGGGCTAATGGTTGTTTGTGATCTTTTACTCGGTTTACTCCCTTTCCGAATGCTAATGCTTTGATTTCAATATAAGTCCCCCCTCTTAAAAAAAAAGTACTACATCCGTCCCAATAAAAACTTCTCGCATTGACTTGGACCCCAAATCTAGGCAACAAAAAAACAGTTGACTTGCCCAAAAGGCCCTTCAACC